ACTTACTGATTGTTTATTGGTTAAATTTATATCCACCATAATGCTGAAGTGCAATAACCTTGGTGTGAATTCCCGGTTTTCAATAAACAGGATTCCACAGTCTTTTGATATAAAACGTCGTGCCTTCACTCAGGATGTAATCTAAAGTAGGTACTTAACATTCTGACTGAATTAAAAAATTGAAATCGCACTGTTTAATGAAAAACTATATTTTTTTTCAATTTCACTGAGTAGGATTACCCACAATTTTCAAAAAGTAGTACTCTGATTATATCGAAAGCAGTTCTCAACTCGTTTAGTTATATTTTCAGATTCTACGTGAGATTCTACAGACTTCTTTATACGAGTATCAAATCATTTATCTATGTCTGATTGTTTCTGATATGTTTTGTCAAAAATTAACTGGAGATCAGTTATACTTTTGAATAGAACTAGCTGATACTTGATGACAATCCATATTTAAACTAATTAATACAGTTTACTGTATGATTTTACCTATAAAAGGTTTTACAAAAACCGCGAGACGTGTTTCGCTATTCAAAAGCTTCCTCAAGCGTGAACTACGCTCTTGTCAATAATTTTTATTATGATGTTGCTAAAAAAATACATACAATTTGTTGATTTGCCAGGGTACTTGAACTCTATCAACGAACATAATTTGAAAATAATGTACTTTTAATCCGCAGCAAAACCTTAAGGAGAAAACTAATAATTTTGGATTAGAAAACCTTCTATTAACCACCATACATTTTTGGTGCTCAATGAGCCCTTTTGTATAGAAAAAGTTGATAATAAAAATAAATATGTTTTCCGTTAAACAGCTGTCGCACCCCTATGAACGACAACCCTCATAAGTCGAAACTTGTGGCGAGCTAAGGATTAATGAGGTCTTACTTTTTAACGTGTGATCCCTAACACGTTACGAATTGTTTCGAGTCATCAACTCCTTCCATTTTGACACTGAAAAGATATGATCTTTCACGTGAGAGAGAGAGAAAGCACTTGTGTCTAAAGGAAAGCACAAATTTCGTCATTCTGCATGAGTAGAAGAGTATTGCTGTTTTTTATTTCAATGGTTCGATATATTTTTTTTCCAGTTCTGAATTGAAAGACAGATTATTATCGTTATTATTACAAAAAAAAGTTTCTATTTCTTTCCGCCCTGCAACAATAAAACTCACGATCAATAACGTATGTTCATTTCCTTTTTGAAATATTAATTTGGACCTATAATCGCGACTGGTTTGAATATTTGAGGACTTATTTGAACTCAGATACAACACACCTAATCTACCACACAATTTTGGTATCTGTAGAAAATGGCATTGAGATTTTCCAAGTGGTTGAAAATTTTGAAAATAACATATAGCAATTATCTCACACAATCAAGCATACCTGGTTATAAATATTTGAGCAAACATTTCAGGCGTGAAAGGTAAGTTGAAATTGAAATATTCGTTTTTTCCTCATTTTGTCTTATTTGGAAACATATACCCTGCATTCTATTGTTATCAAATTTGGAATTTTTTTTCTTTCATTTCACTAAACGCGAATGGCATATCTCCNAAATATTCGGCCTTACAATGAATATCACCAAGCAAACACATAAAACTGGTAGAAACACTTTCAACATAATTATGCAAATTACTGTCCCCGAACCTTTGGTGTAGTAATAAATAATACTTGGAGTTTTTTCTCAACACCAAACCGTTATTTCAACACCACGACACGTGTTTCGATCACCAAGTGATCATCTTCAAGAGAAAGATCAAATTGATCTTCCTCAGATCACATGAACTATCGAACAATGACTCGACACGTGTCTTGCTATACGATAGCATCTTTGGGCGTGTATTATGACGCCCAAAAATGCTACTGTGCTAGAAATCACTCGTTGAAAGTTAAGACCTCGTTAATCATCAGATCCCACAACTTTCGACTCCTGAGAATTTTCGTTCGTAGGGGGCGATATTCCCCTTTACAAGTACACTTTACAAGTACATACCCGTCAAATCAAATCAAATCAAAATGTACTTTATTGTTGAAGATGAACTCTCATTGACAAAGTAAGACAAGCGATTAGTATCACATCAGTCTTTTATTTTTATAATATCCTTGCTAATCAAATCATGTAGTTCCCTTTCATTCTTGCAATGTCAAAATAATGTAGTGTCATCAGAGAATTGGGTTATTTCTGCAGTTATATTAATGCGGGCTAGGTCGTTAATATATAACAAGAAGGAATTGGGCCTAGAACCGATCCTTGTGGAACACCACAAGTAACTGTCTGGAGATGGGATATGTTGTCCGGGCGTTTAACTTTTTGAGTACGTTCTGACAGGAATGATCTGAATCATTTAAAAGATATATCTCTAAAGCCGTACACTTCTGGTTTTTGCAGCAGAATTTCATGATTCATGCAATCGAAAGCTTTTGAAAGATCGCAAAAAACTGCCGCTGCTATTTCACGATTATTTAAATTGAGATAAACGTTTTTCAGTAGATGAAACATAGCATCTTCCGTGTTTTTCAAACTCTGAATAATATTATGCTTAATCACAACATTTGTTCAACAAGTTTTTCTATGATTTTAGCAATGCCTAAAGTTAGTAGAATTATTAGTTTCAAGAACCATAGTGATGTAATACTTTTGATGCATTCCAGTTTGTGTTACAAAAATTTAAATCCGCACATGGCGATTGCACATTTTTTCAAAATAACCATTAACATGGATCAGAACTGGTAGCTCTGTTCAAGGCCATTCGATTAGAAATTTAATTTATTACATGATCTTGTCAGTCATTTCTTTCATCACTGAAATTAATGGAATTTATAAAAAAGTTACCATACCGCTCTGAAAATAATTATTGTCTGTCAAAAGGAATGAATAAATATAAACGGTTATTAAATGATGTTCTTTATTGCGTCACTGTTTGACTTTCAATTGAGTGAGCACTAAGTGAAATAATCTGCACGAAATACTTTGCAAGACGATGATATATTTGTTGTTTGAGATAGACTGGCATACGTTGAATTTCTTAATAACTATTTTATGGTATATTTTCAATAACCTGCATGATATTTGGAAACAATAACAATTAAAAATCTTTAGCAAAAAAATTTACGATCGCCGTATGTTGTTTCGTTCCACTATAGGTATCATCAGTGATACCAGGCTGAACCACGCATGCCTTGCTCGACTCAACTGTCTTGGACGGGTAAGTCTGAGTCAACGGGATACAAATCTGTTGAAAATAAGCGGGTATCGCGAATAGAGAAGAACTTATTACACTGAAAATCCGAGTCTGTTCCACAATGAAATGAAAAACTAGATTCTCAGTTCCCAATTCTATAACTTCTCTCCAAATGTGAACTTTCTACTGTTACTTCAAATTTTTAACAGGTAGACAATCGATTGACTTATTTGCAGTTGATACCTTGTTATACGAATCAAATAATAATTTAAATTGTAATGAATTGAACGGTTGAATATTTGTTGAGTAATAAACTTGCACTGAATGTGAATGAGAGCAAAATGATGGTAATTGGGTCTAAATATCAGTTTGATAAAATTGACCATGATACAGTGAACATCTAAATAGGAAATCAATATATTGAAATTGTTATCGAGATAGTTATGTTGATTATATTATACAACAGTCAAGCTGATTATAATATCAAAAATCTCAATTTTTTTTTCAAGAGTGGACGCACATTTCAGTATTTACTCAGAAGTCAAGATTCACAACTCTTATAATTCAGCCACATTTTTAAGTCCCTTTTTCTGAGGACTAGGACTAGGACTAGGATTCAACAAACTGTCTGTTTCTTTGAGAAACAACAATAGTATTCAAACTTTCAAACAAGCGTTATTGCTACCGGATGGTAGCCGGTCGGTTCGACGTAGGTGCTTTGTTCACTCATTCAATCGACCGCTGTGTGAGTCGGTGGTTCAAGCCCCAGGCTGAACGATCGATTTTCATTTGCTATCGTCCAACCCGTGTTAGGAATCACACGTTAAAACGTAAGTCCTTGTTAGTCCTTATCTCGCACAAGTTTCGACTTCTGAGGGTTGTCTTTCGTAGAAGTGCGACAGCTGGTTAACAAAAAACAGTTTTTTCTCACTGCGGAATAGAACTTTGAATAAATCTATTGATAATATGTGACACTGTATAACGGCTGGTAGTGTCGCCCTCCAGTGAGTTCTATAAGCATTCTACAACATTCCAAAACATTCCGGAACACTCTGGAATATTGTGGAATGTCAGAGAGCAGTTTGAAACTCTACGCAACATCCTGGAACAATCCCGATCATTATGGAAAACTACTGAACAGTTCTGTAACATTCCAAACTTTTTTGTATGGGTTGGACTACCTATTGGTGGGCGTATATAAAGAAAGGTTCGTCGGCCCCGTATTATTTCAAGTTCATCTTTTGAAGTTGTCGCTTTTGGTTCAAAACAACTGATGGTTCTAAATTAAAATGTTATTCATAGATACTTTCAACAGTGATACCATTCGACTCAGTTAAGCATTGAGAAGGTTAATGCTATTTTAATGTACAGTCGCTTCTATGGTTCAAGTGAAATAACAGAATAGTATCGACTTGAAAAACAATGTAACATAATTCCATGAGTAATCCCTACAGGCGTAAACGATAAACAACTATTCGATTTTAAGTGTAAACTAATGTCTATTTTGAACAACACATAGTGTGTGTTTCCTTATGATTATTCTAATGATATTTTTTTTCTAGTCGTCAATCAAGTTCAGTCCTTGAAGATGACAATACAAAAAATTTATTTCGCAGTGTACAAAGTTTGCAGTGTTTGAAAAACAAAATAGCTGTAATGTGTTTTCTTTTGTGGAATAACCATATGCCGTGTTAATTTGTGTAAAGCAATTACACTCGTATAATGGACTTTATAAGTAGGTAAATTTTTTGTAAATATTTCGTACCGAATATCAGTTTATTAGTTCGTGTTCAACAGAGAGAAAGCTCCTCAAAATATGAGGAGCTCGTTGAATTCAGAATGAGGTGTAGAAAAATGAGTTCTCATGATATTACAAAAAATGTTGGTTTTCATTGAAAAATAACAAGAAGAAAAGGTAATTAGTTGGAGGAAGATCAAACTAAGTTTGATCTTCTTGAAGATGATCACTTGGTGATCGAAACACGTAAACTGAAACTAAAAATATATGAAATGGGACACCAGATGAGCAACTATTAATTTTGGCCCCGAATAAGATGTGGTCGACCTACACTAATGTAGTTCTGCCTCAGCCAACATACTCCTCAGTCCTCTCGCCAACCGACAACCATATTTAAGCACTCCGATAACTTTCTCACCGGTAGAACCGTCGCCAATCAGGACCAGGCCAAAAACGGCCCTCGTCGGCTTCCTCTTATCACAAGCACACAATTTTTATGGTGATAGAGTTAGGTTAGGTTAGGTATGAAGTGAGTGGGTCTATTCGACCCTCCACCGGAACCTGCAAGTGTTTATTGTGACTCACACCTATTCACACGGCTCTGCTGAACTCTAAGAACCTGATGTGGTCCCCAGCGAGGCAGGCACAAAGTATATGCTCTGCTGTTTCATCATTTTCCAAACAGAGGCGATACACACTGTCTTTCGACAGTCCAAGTCTCTGCATATGATGATTCAACTGACAGTGACCTGTAAGAATGCCTGTTAGACATCGTAGTTCATCCCTACTGTAGTCCAATAACTGTTTGGTATCAAGCATTGAAGGGTGAATGAATGCCTTGAAGTGAGCCAATCCTGGAAGATTCTGCCAGAAGTCCATTAATCTTTTTTGCCGTCCTGGTGTCCGATGTTTGCTTGGCAAAGCCCAAAGCGATGCCAATGACAGGTTCTGGTCCGATGAAGCTGCTTGCAGCACCCTCCTTTGCAAGGGAGACAGCAGCTTCATTGCCTTCCAGGCCAGTATGGCCAGGAATCCAGACCAGAGACAATCTGTTAAGTCTTCCTTTCAAGGAGAGTCGTTTTTGGCAATTTGCTACCAATTCAGACGTTGCTCGGTAGAAGCCAAGAGCTACCAACGCCGCTTGACTGTCCGAGAATATTTTTATTGACTTGTGTGATAGAGTTAATCGACTTATGTAACGCTTGCAAAACTGCATTGATTCAAATGGCGCCTATTTCGATCAAATTTAATGAGTATTCACTGAGATATCACAGACCATAAAAACCAACAGATTGCTGTTACAGCTGATCAACAATAAGGCTCGATCCACACTATGATGCCGTTCTCGGCCCGATCTCGCTCCGCTCTCGGTCCGCTCTCGGTCCGGTAAAGTATTCTCCAACAAGAAAGGATCAGAGTATTCTTACTATCGTATCGCTCTGGTTCCGATCCGACATCGCGCCGGTACCGGTTGGTCGAAAAGAATATTTGACTGGAGTGTGAATACGTTTTTGTTTCAACTCCAGTCTTTCTTCGGTCTTGCAAGGAGACGTTACATTTTTCTTCTAGTCATATGGCTAGAAATAAATCATGGGATTATGAAAAAGGTAAGTACTTTATTTGAGTTATTTATAATATTTGATCATAAATAATAAACTTTTCTTCGTCGTCTACCAAATGACGATATAACGTGTGATATTCGCCTTCTTCTTTTCTCGTTAGTAAACTAGGATATATCCACATTCTTCTTCTTTTCATTTTATGTTGTATTTTTTTTTCATTTGTATTCTGTTCAAACTAATAGCTATTATCGCTATTATATTGCTTCGATTGAAAAATTAAATGCTATTTTTTGGCAAGTACAATTTATCGAATTATTTCGAGATACGTCCTATGTCGACTATGGATCGAAACAGACTGAGTGTGGAACTAGTAGTGTAGACACAGCGAGATTTGATGGGACCGAGACCGGTGCGAAATCGGAACGAGAACGGCATCATAGTATGGATCGAGCCTAACTACCAACTTTGTGTAGATCGTTCTGAACATTAATTGATCCTTAATAAAAACGATCTGAATGTCCAAAAATGAATTCAAGAGGCCTCACACACACAGATACACCGAGTCGACACTCGTAATGAAGAAAGACTGCGATTGCGTTGGTTTTGTTCCACATAGAGAAGTACTTTGAAGGTTAAGGTCGTATTTTTGTTTCGTGTTGTCTTGAGGTAGAAAGATATTGAACTGAAATTGATATTCGTGAACATACCGCCATTTGATTAGATTTTATCAAAGATCATCAGTGTTAGTGGACAGTAAAATATGTGTGTACTGTGATCAAAGATATGTTTTGCAATTACGAATTATTTTTTGTTTCAGATACGTATGGTATCTGGTTCATATTTTGACTCTTACTTTTACGACAATTCTGATAAAACATACATGGGAGAAATTCATGGATAATCCTACGGTTACCACACTTGATTCATTCAGTTATGATTTGAAGGAAGTTCCGATGCCTGGTATATCTGTTTGCAATGTTAACAAAATAAGCAAGAACAGAGCACAAAAATATGCTCGAGAATTGTAGGTATAAGGAAACGGTTTAATATTTGCAATTAATTCAAAAACACGTAGTCTTAACATGGTGTGATCATCGAAAGAAAGAAAGTTTCAGAGGTAATGCTAGCATTCTTCCAAGTAGAGAAGAAATAATAAATCGGCATCTCCAAGGAAAAACGTTGATCAATAAACTTGATTGACTAAAATTCAATAACAAAATATTCATTGTGCTTAAAGAAACTGTTGATTAATTTCATCAATGTAGGATTTGACAATCAGCATTGAAACCTCATTTATTGTGCTTAAAGAAACTGTTGATTAATTTCATTAATGTAGGATTTGACAATTAGCATTGAAACCTCAGGCCTGAAATGAATCTATTGAAAGCACTTTTTCACACCAGAACAAGAACCTGTGTTTCGACGTTCGTAAGCCAAGTAGACATAATCTGGAGATGAGTACAACTGTTGTGGTGGCTACTACAATAGAGACTTGAATTCTTATTCAATGAAAATAACAAACCACAATATCTCAGTTTTAAAATATAACAGAAAAGATTCTCAAAATAATTCATATTTACACAAACTCAATAAAAGCTGTACATATTACATGGCTAAAAATCACATAGGCACCTTTATCCCATCGTATGCCAATTCATAAAATCACAAACTGCCTATCAATATAGAAATTATTGAAAAATGTAATTAACGACATAGTATTTGGACTCCTACTGGACATCAGTACTGGAGAAATTGACAAAATTGAGAAATGAACTGACAATAAACTCTTCAACCGGATACTGACAGCTCCCTATACAAGAACAAACCAATGGCCACTTTATTCTGAATTGTCTAAAGAATATTTCTAGAAAGAGGTTATCTCAGATTCTTATCATTCCAAAAACATATAGGATAAAGAAAATCACTTTTGTCTAATTTCTACTCAGAATTTCATTCGTTATGATCGGTTTCGGTTTATCAAACAATTCTCAAGTGAACTGACGCATTTTGACAAACAAATTCTTAAAAATACAGTGATACAGTAAATGTCCTTTAGGTATCTGCAATAGGTACCTGGAATAACAAAGATGATACTTGAATTTATCAATACCTTATCTGACTTAACAAATCAAAATTACTGACTATTGATCCAAAACACTACTTTTGGATTGCTCCAAATACCAATGGATCCTGAACTAGTTGCCAAAATTCAAAATGACAGCTGCATAGTTCTTGTTGGTCATTGAAGGTTTTGAAATTGGGTTTTTTAGTCTCTTTATTCATTTCCAATGCTTCCAACAAATGCATCTCTCCTCTCCTTCAATAATATATCAAAATTACTGACTATTGATCCGAAAACACAAGGGCGTTCTATTTTAAAAAATGGAATTTTGGTCTGTAGCACCTACACCAAACAACCTGTATATTTAAAAATTATATCAAAATATAGCTCTCATGAACTCCTAAAGCTTTCGTATGAAACATTTTTGTGTATCTCCTTCAACAAACCAGATATTGCCTGTCACATAAAATGTGGGACACCCGGTATTTGATATGAATTCCTACAAAATGAATGGGTCATCAATAGAACAAATTCCAAAAACAGAATGAGTTTTTTATGCAGTGGCGATAAAAATATACTGAGATGGATGCAATTTATTCAAACAAATTACTATATAACTATAGCTATTTCAAACAACTCAGTGACGAAAACTTCTACAGCGACATCACTGAACAAATTTCGAGTGTAGTCATATGTCTTCTCTATAGATCCTTGAGTTTTTAGGCTGAGGGAAAGCAGAAAACAAATATTTTTTTTTTCCTGATTTGTCACTATCTTGCGTACATACATTTCATAAATATCGACTTTCTTAGAAAAAATACTCAATGTCATACTTGACATCACGATTACTTCATTCCTTGACCTCAGGGGATCATAAAATTGAAATTTTGACAAATCCACCTGCGAGATGAATGAGTTAGCAAATAAATTCAATTAAAGAATACTACAAATGAAGGTCTCCGAATGCCGGAATGTTTAATGCGAAATTAATCACCACGGAGAAAAGCATAGTAGCACTTATTCAAATTCAAAGTTGATGTAGGAATTATTGACAGGACCATAATCCTTGATCATCATGATTTATTGAAGGCATCAATGAGTAGTTCTTATGCTGCGTGATTTTCGTCTGAATTCTACCGAAGAAGCTAGGATCGAATATGAAAAAATTACACCTCACGTTTGTATTTACTTGTTATTAGATTTGAATTAAGCGAAAATTCTGCAAAGGATTCGTTTCACATTCAAATACTTTAAATAATTTTCCATTCATTGGTCCACCATGATGAATGTTCAGACCAGTTATGATTTACGGTAAAAAAACATCGATTCGTGAGCNCTGCATAATCGATCCGAAAATAATGGTGGTCTAGTAGGTTACTTGGGATGCGTCGGTTTCTTGAGATGCGTCGGTATCTGAAAGGGTTTCTAGAAGAAGCTGTTTTTTTATTCTGTTCTGAATTTTGGAACATCTGGCTTTGATCTTTCTATCAGTGAAGAAGGGATAACAAATTTAGGATTGTTTCATTAATAATTGACTGTCAGCGAAATACGGTTGATGTAATCAATGCGAAAGTTTTTCTCTCGAAAATAAGGAAGGAATATTGTTTATTGACCAAAACAAATATAATGCACAACATGCAGAACGATTCTTTTTCATTTTTCTGGTGTAAAACTCTCGTCTCAACAATTTGGCTCATTTGTGATGCACAGTTTGGAACCTTTGATGTAGCAGTGAATATGTACACGTAACACGTGTCGAGGTGTTAAAATAACGGTTTGGTGTTGGGAAAAAACTCCAGTAATCTGGCTTAGTTGAATTTTTCAATTTGAGGTTTGATCAATGACAAAATTGTTCTCTTCCATATCTGGGTTTCAATTTGTTCTTGGATATTTCTTGTCTTGAATGTTACGATAAACAAATCTTTTGAATATCTCGTGGTATTATTGAATTATACAATATCACTCCAAGGATCTTTTGCTATTCACAAAAAGTTTTCATGAAGGATTTAAGGAAGACAGACAAAATGATGTTGAGAACTATATCGGGGTGACTGATCACCTGAAGATGACTATGGATACCAACAATCGAAACGTCGTGAAGTAACTTGGTTTGGAATCTCTTTATTTTTTATTTGATTGTTCTATTTTTTTTACACTGTAATTTGTTTCACTGTAGCTTCATTTCAGGTTTTTTTCGTTTGATATAATTGTTATTTTCAGCTATTGTTTTGAATTTCTAATTTGTATTGGTTCTTTTAGGGATTTCAAATCATTTTATAAATTATTAGACAATGGAAGTCCGAACTAATGAAACTCATCATGAAACACTGTTAATTACCTTCAAACATAATATTTCTTCTTATAAGTTAAGACCAGTGCAAACACTAGAACCTGGTGACCTTGAGAGACGATTGGGGTTTTGTCGATGGTTTATGAATAAATGCAGACAAGAGCCAAACTTCTATAGAAATATTATAATGATCGATGAGGGATGTATGAAAAAAAAATTATTGGAGTAGACATAATCCATTTCTAGTCCATCCCCACAATCCTCAGAAACGATTAAGTATCAATGTTTGATGAGGCAGAATCATCGGTCAATTTCTCTACTATAGTTCTTTGAACGGACCCCCCTGTATGTCTGTATCTGTAAAGTAGGGAGGGTGAGTGTAGGCTTACAGCCTTTAGGCCACATGTGACCCAACTCCCGAGGAGTTGTCCTCCTAGGTCATCGTCTATCCTATCCTTTCCAGAAAGGTCACTTGGAGACATCTCCTTTATATAGGCAGGTTATCTTATGGACGATAACTCCGGACACTCGCATAGGACATGCGTGACAGTTTCATGTTCCTGTACATACATCCTGCGTAGAGGTGTGTCCACTATCTCCAAATTATGAAGGTGTTTCCTCAGTTGACAGTGATCAGTCAGAAATCCTACTCTTGAGCATAAATTTTTCCTGGTCATCGCCAGAGATTTCTTCGGCGCCAGCTTCCCAGGGTCCCACATGGGTGTGCTCAATCCCTAGGCCGTAGGTGCCACTAGGCCGTAGGTGCCACCGGCGTAGTTGCCATTAGGTCCTAAAATTCTTAGTCCAGCCGCTTCCCTGGCTGAAGAGTCGGCAATGCGATTACCTATACTCCTGTCATGCCCTTTAACCAACCTCAGGATAATGTTATTATCTACCGAGTCTTTGGCTAAATCTTGGTGGAACTCTAGTACTAGCCCTGAGGTAACACGTTGTCTGTTCAAGGCTAATAGGGCTTGTCTCTTATCAGTGCAGATTGTTATATTTTTGCCAGAAATTCCTTTCCTGGTTATTTCTTTTGTGGAGATTGAGATACCAGCCAGTTCTGTTTGAACCAACCTGGTATTTTCTCCCATTCCCCACTCAATCCTCAGGCTTAGTGATCAGGAGTACCCTCCACATCCTGAACGGACCCCGTTACATTAATTCATCAACATGACTGTTGTACGAGTTTTTCAATGATCTTAATCTGGAGGCTCGTCATATGATGTATTTTCAGCAGGATGGAGCACCAGCACATAATTTCAATGGCGTAAAATGAATGCTGCGAGACTGTTTTGGAAGCAGATGGGTTCTTACAAATGGTCCTGTTATGTAGCCTCCTCGTTCATGAGACATGGCATCTCTGGTGCTTACTTTTGGGGATTTCTAAAAAATGAGGTGTACAAAATGAAACATGATAATGTAGATGAACTGAAAAATTATATTGAAACTATAATCAATAGAAGTGATAGCTGAATAGTGTTGAAAGCAAGACGTAGTATCAAGAGAAGGGCCCAAAATATATGTTCGTCAAAAAGGCGGTATTTTTGAATGTTTACTCAATATTTTATAGCTCTTTATTCACCAAAACAAAACATTTTTTGTACTAGTGAAGGAAATAAATATTTTCACAAAAATCGCTCATTTCCCACTTTAGGAAGAAAGGTGATATGAGATTTGTTGTTGAGAATGTTATTACGAATTGGAGTGCATGATAAAATATAGTGTGTTCCATTGAAAACAATATCATTTTATGAATTATTTTAAAAACGCGACTTCAATTTTTTTTTGTCAAAAGACCATTGAAAATGCTACTAGTTTGCCCATTTAACCGAACTCGTAGCATCAATAATAACGGAGTTGGCAATGGCGCCGACTTAATTTGGAGCACCCTGTATAATAAGTCCAAAAATTTCGATGCTTACTTCATATTTCTAGATCTGGGAAGTCAGGAGAACCAGTAGAAGAAATTTTCAACAATATTTCTCTACTTGGTAGGCTCTATGAATATAGCTTACCCACCAGTTCATCAGACTCACCGATTAATTTTCAAAACTTTTTGGATAAGTACGATAGTGGAATAGAGGGATTTTTCAACACATATAAGGTTCTCAAAGAGGTTAGCGAATAATAACTTAAATTGCTCTGTTTGGAACCTTTGGTGTAGTAATAATATTACTGGAGTCCTATCCCAACACCAAACCGTTATTTTTGATAGCCCGACACGTGGTTCAATCACCAAGTGATCATCTTCAAGAGGACGAATAAACAGTTTGATCTTCCTCTTGAAGATGATTACCAAACCGTTATTTTTAACACCTCGACACGTGTTTCAATCACTAAGTGATCATCTTCAAGAGGAAGATTGAACAGTTTAGAATCTTCCCTTTAAAGAGGAAGATTGAACTGTTTAACTTTCCTCTTGAAGATGATCACCAAACCATTATTTTCAACAACTCGACACGTGTTTCATCCACCAAGTGATCATCTTCAAGAGGAAGATAAAACAGTTTAATCTTCCTCTTGAAGATGATCAGTTGGTGATCGAAACACGTGTCGTGATGTTAAAAATAACGGTTTGGTGTTGGGACTAAACTCCAGTAATATTCAATAATAACTGAAGACTTCATTATTTACAATTGTAAATGCTTAAATGCTAAAGTAGAAACGGAAATCACCACAAAAATTCCGAAAGTAACCGACTTCCGATTATTATTTTGAAATCAGGATTGTTTCTTCCCTTTCAATTTTTTTTAAACAGAATAATTCACTCAGCAAATCTGTTTTTGTATCTGTAGAGTAGGGAGGGGGAGTCTAGACCCACAGCACTTAGGCCACGACATGTGACCCATTGTTCATCCTCTCGAGGAGTTGTCCTCCTAGGTCATCGTCCATCCTGTCCTTTCTAGGAAGGTGGACAGGTCACTAGCAGACATCTCCTTTATATTGGCAGGTGTGGGCCAAAACTCACCGAACACACACTCTCTTTGGCAACCTTGAGGTGTCTCACGGTGGCCTTCGCGAAGGTTTTGGAAGGTGTAGCGACATTATTGTCGCGGCTTCTTCAACCTTCTTGGGGCTTCCTTCGTGGAGATGCACAAGTGAGGGAGCTTGCCTGCAGGTGCAGCCGGTTCCTTGCCTTCATTCAAGGCGGAGCTCTGGGCGTCCACCACCGGAAGTGCCCTTGGTGTTGGAGGTAGAGTGGGGGAGAAAAAGGGTGCACTTATAGTTGCGGCCACCGCCTTAGATTGAGGTGAGCACTTCAATCCAGCCTCGGGATTGGTTTTTGTTTTTGTTGTTTTTGTGTCTTCCCACGAGAGGCAAGGGAAGAGTTGGTCACCTCTGGCAGAGCCCCGCATTACCAAAGGTAGGCTGATTACAATGAGGTATCGCCCAGTTCCCCAAGGGGATCGTTCGTAATCGCATATCACCCTGCGGCCATTCAGCTGTCGGCACGATTCCTTACACCTTAGCTTGGGTACGCTGGTCCACGATGGCATGTTTCGCAAAGACTTTTGGGGAGTTCCCCTCATCCTACTGATTTCTGCCACTGACCAGGAGTCCGGCGACCTCGTCCATAAGGCCACATTGTCTTCCCTTGGCCGTTCTCTTATCCGCCACCTAGGGACGCGCCCGATAGGTAGCCAATCCCACGGGCAGCAACTCTGTAAATATAGCGCCTATTTGAAATTATCCACATTGTGCAGGTGAAATACACCAAATACACTCGTTGCCAGAAAAGTGCCACAGTTCTTGTACGTAAGGGTGGTATTTTTGTAAGATCGGCGAATTCGCAAATGAGACGTAACTCGAGCACTAATGATTGGCAGTAGTGATAATATAGGATGCTTGATATCTTTCCTCAAGTAGACTCCATCTATCGGATTGACAATAAACTTAATTCGCGAATATTGAAGACTAACCACTCTTTCAAAGAGATCACTGGCGAATTTAAGCTTCGAAATTAACCGTTGAATGACATTCATTCACAGTTTTCACTTCAGCTATCACTACTACAAATAATTTAGTTTTGAGCAGAGCTCAAAAAAAACTTTCTTGATCCAGCACCGGATAGCACTGTTTGGACCTCAATAGGTTTCATCAGTGGTGATAGGCTGAACTTTGAATTCATTGCTAGACTAAAATATCCTAAGAATAGGCCCGAGTCAGTAGAGGCTGTAGCACCTCCCTTTGCGGGGACGTCATCTGTCAGAAGACTCAACTAATTGGCATGCAGTGAGAGCTGCAGTCACTTTAGATAAATTATTTTCTGTATCATGAATTGATACTTTGGAGTTTCATTTTTACTTTTCTGAATATTCATTATTTTTATTTCTTGTATTGAAAAAATAATAACTTACCTTACGACAGAAATTGTCAAGTTTTGAGGTCTATTCTTCTTTGATTTTGCGCAACCAGAACGATCCTTTTTTGGATCGGATCGTTACGTGTGGTGAAAAGTGGATCCTCTACGACAACAGGAGACGTTCACGACAGAACATCGATGAGTCCCCATGCACTTTCCGCAGACGAAAACTCTCCTATGGTTACTGAATGGTGGCCAGGAGTTGGTGTGATTCATTAAACTTTCTGCAACCGGGCCAAACCATCGACGAAATATACTGAAAATTGTGTCAGTACCAGCCGCCACTGGTTAACAGCAGAGATCCAATCCTGCTTTACTACAATGCATGTCCACACTTTTCACAAATCACCGTTCACAAATAAAAAAAAAGAGCTTCGAAGTTCTGCCTCATCTACCATACTCCCCAGATCTTTCTCCAACCGACTATTACTTTTCCAAGCACTCCGATAACTTTCCCACTGGTAGAACCTTCGCTAAACTGAACTTTACACATTGAACTTTAAACGTTCAAGCTAGATGTTGGAGATGGAGATGTTGGAGCTGTTGTTCGCTCCAACTTGGGAAGAGAAATGAAATACTTTGAAAGAATTCCGATATTCAATTCTGGAATATCATTGACTTTAGGTCGATGATGGCCACTATCTTGCACTGACGAGTAGCTAATGAGCCCGAAACCGATCTGCAAGTGTGCCCCTTCCAAAATTGAAGGTCGACCCTTTCAGTTGTATTACAAATTGCATATGCAGGAAATTTTCTGTGAAGATTCCTGCACTGACGCCTGTCGGATATAATCCAACGCCTTCGTGGTATTAGCCAGAGGAGTAGTTGTTTTCTGATGGGCGTCAGTCCATTCAACCTACTGTCTAGGTATATCCAGGACTGGCTTGAACGTTCAAAGTTCATTTCTTTAGAAAAGTGCATTGATTGAAATGGCGCTTATCTCGATTGAATTTAACAAGTATTGAATGATATTACAGTTTTATGAAACGTCTTAACATATGTTTTCTAGATTCTTTCACATAACCTCAAATGAAAAAGTTCTTTGATAACTGATCACAACAATTTTGATGAATTTGTCGAAAATTGCAGAGCTGTACCTAGGTTTTCTGTTAATTTTCTCAAGATCATTCTGTAAAAATAATTTTTGTAATTTTGAGTTTAAAAAAGGCATCAATATATGAGTTCAACCGTGGAGTTACTCAAAATAAATTGAGTGAAATTTTGTTTTCTGTTCAAACATGAAACAGGAAATTAATTTCTATAATGTTGCCTCTAGATGAGGAACTTTGATTCAATTGGAAACAATCAAATTTATGTTAGTTTAAATTTTACTTTTCAGGTCGGTTATTTCTGATTAGTTTTTTGGTTATTTCTGTTTCTATTAGAGTAATTGTGCAGAACACACAAGTAAAATACAGGGGTGCGCAAAAGTCCAGAATAAAATTAATATCTTTTTAACCAGTATTTTAGGAAAAAAACGCTGAAACACGTCAGTTGATTTCACGTTGTACGCATTTTTTGGCAATGAAATGATTATTTTTTCAACCCCTTACCTGCAACCCTCCCCAACTTTTTTTTTCAAATGCAAACCTATGTCGTGTATGGGCTCATTGAAAAGCTCGTAAAAAATGGATTCTGACTATCCCCTTTTTTGTTTTGTGGTTACAACGAAATGAGGACGTTGCGTACGAGCTTCGCATATCCAGTGTGGGTTTTCCTGATTCCAGAATCGATCTACTCCATGTAAATAAAAAGTAGATTCGTTCGAAAATAGTATGTTGAGTGGAAACCCATTATTCTCGTCACATCGTCTCATTATTTCCTCACAAAATTGCAAACGCCTGTCATAGTCATCTTCCAAGAGCTCTTGGACAGGACATACTTTGTATGGGTGGTATTTTTCTGTTTTCAAAAACCTCCCAATCGTATGTCTAGACGCAGGATTGTTTTGGGCTAATGAAACCGTTGACAAATGTGGATCTTCCTGCAGAGATACGGCAATGTCCAATTTTTGATCTTCGTCTAAAACATGTGGCCGGCCATATTTTGCATTAAATAAAGTACACACCTCACTTTGACTCCGCATTCTATCCCCACATCCCAACAATATCAAGACTTCGATACGCTGCCTCTCTGACAATACCATTTTTGTTTAGCAAATTAAAAAAGAACACTTTGAAGGTACCCAATCAATAAACTAAACATACAAACAATTTCAATTTCACTCAGAAATGCCACAATTTTGAAACTGAGTTAAGACAATTGTTCTTATCAGGGTATTCATTTTGGTACAAAAAATGCAACAACCTATTTTATGTGTAAGTTTTTAGTGAAAAAATAAAATTCACAGAATGTTGATGCTACATTACGTTATCAGCGTTATACATAAATCAATAAAATTTGTTGTGGTGCCTGGCCCGGTTGGTCTGTTCTTAATCAGGACTTATTTGTTTTTTGAAACGTTAATTTAACCGTAGATAGCACTAATTAGGTATTTCTAACTTTTTTGGTTTTAAAAGAGTTTTTTCTCATTTCGTGGTAACTGCATGAGTAAAAAAAATAAAGGGTATGGTCAGATTCCATTTCTCACGAGCTTTTCAATGAGCCCATACACGACATAGGTTTGCATTTGAAAAAAAAAGTTGGGAAGGGTTGCAGCTAAGGGGTTGAGGAAAAATTTCATTTTATTGCCAAAAAATGTGTACAACGTGAAATCAACTGAAGGGTTTCAGCGTTTTTTCCTAAAATACTGGTAAAAAAGATATTAATTTTATTCCGGACTTTTGTGCACCCCTGTATTAGAAGTTATTCAATAATATCAATCTCGCTATGAAGAATCAGTAACATACCATACCCCAAAATAAAATGTACTGATTTTTTCCAGATATCTACTCCTTGTTCAGAACTTCTCACGAAATGCCAATGGCAAGAGGAAGATATAGAATGTCACGAATTATTCGTGTCAGAATTGACAGCTGAAGGACATTGTTGCGTTTTCAATTACCTCTTTCAAAAAAATGAGGATAACATTCCAGAAATAATGTAAGGCTAACTGGTCTGCTGAAACTTCATTCACGAACGTTTTATTTCAGCAAAAGAAATGATTACCAGGCGATGAAATTTGGGATGTACGGACATTTGACTTTCATTGTTACGGCGAATATTTCAGATTTTTATTACACTACCCTCAATACCGAAGCATCGGCCAAGGTACCATTTTGGTTTCATATTTAGAGTAGGGCTAGAAACAAATGCAGAAGTACTAGTCACAAATTATCTGTGAAACAGTTCATAATCATTTTGATCTAATTTGCGAGTCATTAACCACTAATGACTATTTCATTGAAAAATAGAACAAATGATGCTAGGTGAATTAGGATGATTTGTTTTTCCCACACCAGTAGTGTAAGAATGGTCATAGATTCTGTATGAATTATCGTTGAAAGCGCAAAAAATATCAATGACTAGGTGAAAATCTAAATTTTCGTGAAAGAAGGGTATGGAGATCTTTGCCTTTGGCCTTTCTAGCCTTCATCCTGAAAGTAAAGGATTGGTCGCCTCCTTAAAAAATACAACATCAAAAACATATACATGAGCCCATCAAGAAAATAGAGCATTGCCTTGGGTCAGTAAATACAGAAGAGATCCCCAATCGAATCCAGTTTCTCGTATTCCAAGTTTCTGTGGCAACGTATATATCGGCACAACCAAGCATCCGATCAGCACGAGGACTGCGGAATACGGAAGCTACTACAGACTGGGTTACAAAAAAAATCAGTTGTGACAGAGATCACCCGACTTCTTTTATTGTAACCGGTTAGTTTGTGCTGCAATTGAAGTCCACAAATGAGAGAGCAATTAAAATTCCAATAGATATAAATGAAATTTGTACATCAGCTCTCTGAAACACAAGTACGGTGAGAATACCTGGACACATGATTAGTTAGAAGTGGTATTTTTTTCTCCCTTCAGTGTACTTCCAGTGTGAGCGAGAACACAGACCCATGGAACGGCGAAACGTCAGCAAAATATGAAATCACGAACAGTTTTATAATATGGCCGTGGAAGTCTGAATTTCTACAGATTTGAATCCAAGTTGCAAGATCACAGTACACAGTAGAGTCTGGTAAATATCTTACGCAAACAACTATTCTTCTGCCCGTGTATATATAAATGAATAAAAATCATATTGATGATCGCTCAAGATGTTGAAGTCTTCCAAATATTTGAAGATACGGTGGTTTACGACTTTCTCCATGATTTTTGATATCACTGATAGCAAAGCGACTGGTCTATAGTAATTTGGAAGATTTTTTTGCTCTTTTTGGGTATAGGCAAGCAATCTTCCAATAAGAAGAAAATTTAAAGAGGTATATTTTTAGGAGAGATTAACTTTGTATGCAGATGGAAAAGTGAAAAGCCAAAGCCTTCCTTTCACATGTATTATTCAAGTTTCATATAGATCTTCATATAGATCATTGTTTGAGCCGACTCGTATGATAATGCTAAGATTATGAATTCAAAATCATCAATAGTCATCGCTTCAAACAGTCTATTTTCACTCTTCTAGATCATGGTGTCTCTTCCAACTGATTACCCAGATACTACTTCTGGCAGTCTAACTGAAGAGTTGATAGGCGTAGGAACAGAAACGTTTCTGAGAGTCTCATCAGTCACAACCATAAGTACTCCTGAAGTGAAGAAATATCCAATCGAAAAGGTATCCTATTGGTTCAAATTCAGCACGTGAGGGTATAAATATAGTGACCTGTGGATTCTTATTGTTTATTATCTGTATATTACATATTCTCAGAAAATAATAAGTTGTGAGGTTAGGAAAGAGATGGCTGAAGTGCAATGTTACCTATCGAAGATTTAAAGTATGTTACTTCCAAACTCTATCGACTTTTTTTGACACATCTATAGTTGAAACCACAAGTTTGATAGAACATACATTATTGTGTTTCATCTTTCTGAAATAGAACTAAAAATTATTGTTAATAAAACACATAGGCTGAAAAATCCCGAACACAAGAGAGAAAAAGCGTTTTTTTATTATAATTCCAGCACCCTCTAACATTTCAATACCACTTTTGTAGAACAATTTATCTTTTGCCTCAAAATAGCTCCCATTTTCAGCAATAACCTCTTCAATCGAGCAAAATTTCTTACCGGTGAGCACTTTTTAAGGGGGTCTTTTGAGGTTTGTGAATAGCCAGTACTCGCTGCAATTCAAAGCAATTCAAAGTGGAATTCATGTAATTTTGCCTTTGTTTCGATTGACCTGTGGCAGGGTACATTGTATTGATGAACAATTTTTTTATTTGACATATGCGGTCGTTTCTTTGCAATTTCGGCATTCAAATGCTCCAATGACTCTATATGATTATCACTGTTGATGTATTTCCCTGCTCAAGATAGTCGATGGATATTACACCAGACCCATTTCAAAATAACGAGGCCATAACCTTTCAATTCGATTGTCTTGCTTTCGAGCGCTTTGGATGAGGTTCACCAGTTACTCTCCACTCATATGACGAGCGATTTGATTTCGGAGTGAAGTGAAGGGTCCATGTTTCATCAATTGTCACATATCGACGCCATTCCGGTTTGTTATGTTTGAACATGGCTGAACACTGCTCATAATCATCCAGACATTCTGATTTAACAGCCAGGAGTTCCATCTGTCAGGAGTTCCATCCCCACCATGACCAGATCTCTATCTGTATCTGTCTAATAGGGAGGGTGAGTGTAGGCCCACAGCACTTAGGCCACATGTGACCCATTGTACATCCTCACGAGGAGTTGTCCTCCTAGGTCCTCGTCCATCCTGTCCTTTCCAGGAAGGTGGACAGGTCATGGGAGACATCTCCTTTGTATCGGCAGTTGCGAAGGTCAAGACTCGCCGAAAACACACTTTCTTATTGACGATAACTCCGGACACTCACTTAGGATATGCCTTACAGTTTCATCTTCCTGTTCACACATCCTGCATAGAGGTGTGTCCACTAGCCCCATAATATGGAGGTGTTTCCTTAGTTGACAGTGGCCAGTCAGACATCCTACTGTTTGTTGAGTGTAGGTTTTTTCTGGTCATCGCCAGATATTTCTTTGGCGCCAGCTTTCCAGGGTCGCCCAGGGTGATCCTGGCAAGACTGCAACCTTTTGATTCCATCCCATCTTTTGAGGGATTGACCATGGGTGTCACGTGTGGCTGGTTCCGCAATTGTCGAAGTCATCAGGCCGTAGGTGTCACTGGGTCCTGAAATTCTTAGTCCAGCCGCTTCCTTGGCTCAAGAGTCGGTAATGGGATTACCTTTATTCCTGTCGTGGCCTTTAACCCACCTCAAGATAATGTTATTATCTACCGAGGCGGCTTTGGAACGACCAGATATTTTTCTAGAGATAATTTATCCAGCTGAAGTAGGCATAATCCTGCAATGGTACATGACTGACGGATTGCGAACAGCCATGACTCGGGACGTTATTGAAATTACCTACCCAGAACACGAAGCTAATGACCAAAGTAGTGGATTCCGTTGACATCAAAAAATAAACTTCGAAAATAATTGAAATCGGTGAATCCCCCACTGTCAATATCTTATGAAAATTTTGTAATTTGTGGATCAGAAAGGAAACTTCAATTCTAGTTTGCACGCAATGTGAGACCAAAAAACTTTCCAGAGACAATTGGTCACTGTGGGGTTATTCTGTATTCTTCATTGTGCATTTCATTGGTTTGGACTTCCATTTTCTGATATGATATAAATTGATTTGAAATTCCTTAATGAATCTATAAAAATTAAATAAATCATCTGAAAAAACAATTATATTAAGCGAAAAAAACCGAAATTACAACGGAATAAAATACAAACAACTATTGAAAAATCAGAGGAGATGAGAATTAATAATTATTAACAAGAAATGAAAATCAAAAGATTCCAAGCCAATTTACTTCACGATGTTTCGATTGCTGGTATTCACAATCGTCTCCGGGTGATAACTGGACTTATTCCCCCGATATCTGACTATTTATAGGTTATTCAAGTACTTTCATCTATCCCCTCTTCTCTCTCTGTGCTTCATCGGTTTTAGCAGGCACTGACCGTTTGGCGGGAGTTGGTCGTGTTCCGCTTGATTATAGGTTTCCATATGTTGCGTATCTCTACGCTAGCTTGGCTCAATGCGTTGTTGGACAACATTTATGCGGCTTCTTTGAATTTTCTCCTGATTCAGTGGTTCTCTTTGTGGATGATTTCATCTTGAGACCACTTGATGTTATGTTGATGCCAAACATGTCCAAACATGTTCTGCTACTCCTGATTTGCTGGTTTCTTCTCGCTGTGTGTGTTTCTTGTCCTCTGCAATGCGAACTTTCGATTGCTTCTTAGTTTCACCGATGTATGATTCTCCGCACTCGCAGGGTATTCGGTAAATTCAATTCTTGGAATCGCAGTCCGCGTTTGGTGGCCTGGTTTTCGTGAGGCTGCTACGGATAGTGTTCCCAGATCTGAAGCAGGTCTTGATGTTATACTTGGACCCAATCCTTCTTATCCTTTCCGATAATCCTCTAATGTAGGGAAGTACAAGTAGTGGTTGTGGCGGCTTCTCTTCCTTGTGGAGCTTTTGCTGTCTTCTAGCTAAAGCCCGTTCTATCATCACTATGGAGTAACCATTCCGTTGAAGGTCATTTTTGATGATGCCTAGTTCCTTTTCGAGACCTTCCTTTGTATTACAGAGCCTGAAAGCACGGTCTAATAGAGTCTTGATGATTCCTCTCTTAGTCGATTGATGAAGTTTCTATTTAGTTTCGGCAATTCGTTGTGGACTCCACAGTCCACAAGTCCAAACCAATGAAATGCACCACGAAACAGTGTCACCCACCTTCAAACAGATGTATTCTTCGTTATTAAAATATAACTGATTATATTTACTTTCTAGAGAGATTGTATATTTCGAGACGAACTATCGACAGTTTTTGGCGATTACAGTTACAGTGACTGCATTATGGATTGTAAAATCAGAAGTATCGAAGCAATGTGTGGTTGTATTCCATTTAATTATATGAGCATATTTAGAGGAAAGTTCTGTGATCAGTGTACATTAGCGGATCTTCCTTGTCTCAACAGACATGCAAGTAAGTTATTATATGTGCATTTTGGAGTAAATATCGAAACTATGAATACTCATCCATGGCCAGATAATGAACGATCTTGTTAAGTTCAGTTATCGAATTGAAATCATTGCATACTTCCTGAATATATTCATGAGTATCACTACGATGCATTTGATTCATTCAGTTTTTCCTTTGGAGTTTCAAGTTTCACTTTTTTAGGGTAGATCTGTCACGTTTTGGGACATGACTGAAGTTAAATTTTTTATACCTCAACTATTGAGATAAAACGTAGGCATATAAATAGATAGATAGATTCTTCCATTGACTACGATATTGCATATATTGTACCAGGCTCTGTATCTATAGAGGAAGTAGGGTGAGTGTAGGTCCACAGCACTTAGACCACATGTGACCCATTGTACATCCTCCCGAGGAGTTGTCCTCCTAGGTCATCGTCCATCCTGTCCTTTCCAGAAAGGTGGAGACATCTCCTTTATATTGGCAAGATGTAGGCCAAAACTCGTCGAACACACATTTTCTTATTGACGATCTTCCTGTTCCCACATCCTACATAGAGGTGTGTCCACTATTATGGAGGCGTTTCCTTAGTTGACAGTGACCAGTCAGAAATCCTACTGTTAAGCGTAGATTTTTCCTGGTTATCGCCAGATATTTCTTCGGCGCCAGCTTTCCAGGGTCGCCCAGGCTGATTCTGGCAAGATTGCATCCTTTAATTTCATTCCATCTCTTTAGGAATTGAGTATGGGTGTGACGTTTGGCTGTAGGTGCCCCTGGGTCCTAAAATTCTTAGTCCAGCCGCTTGCTTGGCTAAAGAATCGGCAGCAATGCGATTTCCCTTACACATGTCGTGCCCTTTAACCCACCTCATGATGATGTTATTATCTACCGAGGCTTTGGCTGAATCTTGTCTCTTCAAGGCTAATAGGACTTGTCTGCTATCAGTGCAGATTGTCATGTTTTCGCCAGAAATTCCTTTCCTGGTTGTGGTGATTGAGATACCAGCCAGTTCTGTTTGAACTACTATTTTTTCCCATTACACACTTGATCCTTGATCCTTAAGTAATCTGGAGTACACTCTATATCCTGAGCTTTCTTTGGTTTTTGAGCCGCATGTATGTATGCGTATTGCATTTGTAGCATCTGACTCTGTGTTCTCTTTTATTTGTATTTTGTAGGGTGTAGGTAAATGCTTAAATTGTACACGAATATTATCACAGAAATTCAACAGTAGAAATCTCAACTTTACTTCCTCACCAATTCATTGATGAGGTCAATTTTGTCTGAGTTAGGTAGACTCCCAAGCCTTTCAATCTGGTTTGGTATTCACGATCAGAAGCTTATGTCTTCAAGGTTATTATTTCAGTAAAGAACAGAAGCCTGCGGTAAATAATTTTTCGAAATTTATGTTATATCATACTTGAGAAAAAGAATATTTTTAAAATTGTTTCAGTTTTTGCTAAAGAATGAACATTCCATCCACTTTACAGGGATTTGTCAAACAGATACTAGTTTTTACTTGGATTTATTTGAAATTTATTAGTAGGGCATCAGTTTATTGTTTATTTTGTTAGCTCTTTCGGCAATATGATTACGATAACATTGATCTTACTGGATTTATCTAGAACAGAAAACCTAGTGATAGTTATCTCAGTATTTATTACTCTCGATAGTGAAAAAATACATTTTTGATTTCCATTTCCTGGCCATATTCAAAAATACTCGATAAAACTCAAAATTGATATCCAAGAGTGTATTAACAAGTGATAGAAATTCAAAAATATAGAGATAATTGCAAAAGAAAAAAAGGAATGAACATTACCAAAATCTGGCTACCTGTCCTGAATTGTACACAAAGAAGGACAGGTAATCCAGTCAAGAGAAAACAAAACACGTCCATTGTAGTTTCTGCGTAAAGAATAACGAGAACAACAACTCGAGCACTGCAACACATCGTCTTTGATAATATCTACCGCAGTAGTAGACGAAACGTCAGGCATTGAAACCTGCAGATCACGGCTAAAAAACCACATAATCTCCGGTTCTGATTCTTTGATTGTCAAATGTAATTTATGATATTAATATTCATTTCATCATTTTCAAGTCAAATGGAAGATGATGTATCCCGTAGATTACCACGGAAACGTTTTGGAAAGAGAGAAACAAAACTCCATTCTGTGCAGAAAGTGCTACCCAGCTTGTATGGATACTTTGTATGCTATCTCAAGCGACAGTATCGACATTTTGGACAACGGGTAATTGTACTTCTTATAAAATTATAATATGAAGCAAATAGTTATATGAATTTCAGTTGCCGCTTTTATTTCTTCAGTAGAAATTTTTATTTCGTAATTCAACCAGCTTTATTTGTTACCAATATCTTAAGTTCCAGATGATTTTACGAGGGGGGTTTGGGAAGTTTCGACCTCAACATGAAGATAGCAGCACTTGTTGTTCATCTGCTGACAGTTACCCACTCACCAAAGTTTCAGCCATTTTGAACGCGCAGTTGTTATGTGAAAGTCGTTTGAGTGTATTGATGTGAGTGTTTTTATGAAAATGGACAAAGTCGAGTATCGAGCTGTCTTTAAATATTTGTTTTTGAAAGGTAATACGCCTACGCAAATCAGAAATGAGTTGGATTCTGTGTATGGAGACTCTGCACCATCATTTACCATGGTGAAATTTTGGGCTGCTGAATTCAAACCTGGCTGTGAGAGCGTGGGAGATGCTAAACGTTCGGGGCGTCTAAAAACTGCAACTACCGACGCAAACATCGACAACGTTCACCAAATCATGCTAGACGACCGCCGAATTGAAGTGAGAGAAATAGCAGGGGTTATGAACATGTCAGAAGAATGTGTTTGTAGCATATCAAATCAACATTTGGGCATGAGAAAGCAGTCGGCACGTTGAGTGCCGCGTTTGCTCATGTTAGACCATAGAAGTGTTCGAGGGAACATTTTCAACGCTCTGCTGGCGCGGTTTAGCGCCGATTGATTACTGTAGATGAAACTTGAATACACCAAATCAAAAATACAGTCCAAACAGAGGACTGCAAAAGGGGAACCGGCTCCGAAAAGAGCAAACACTATTTTTAAGGCTAGAAAAGTGATGGCTACTGTTTTTTGGGATAATAATGAAGTTATTTTGACAGATTGAAGGCAGAATTTGCGAAAACACGACCACATTTGCAGAGAAAGAAAATCCTGTTTCACCAAGACAACGTACCGTAGTACTATTCAATAACATATTCGAAATCACCTTGTATGAAAATAAAACAGAAACCTCTAGCATAGAATGAATCCATTGAAATACTTCTTCTACATACCAGAACTGTAATAGTTTTTCCGATGATGGTTGTGTATACAAATCTTCTCCCGAGCTTGCATGCATGTAGTTTGTCTTGTCAATCGCTCTCTTCTGCGACATCTGGATGATTGAATTCAAAACAACACTTCCTACAAAAAACGTCGTCTCTTGATTCGACAGCAAACTGAAGTCATCTTTAATAATTGAATAGAACCGCGACACGTGTTTCACTATACAATAGCTTTCTCAAGCGTTAATAATATTAAAGGGTTCTACAAAATTCCTTTATAGTGAAAATCATACAATAAAGTGTATTAATGAGTTTTTTTTCATCTTCAATAAACTTGCAATAATCACATTTCGTACCCTCTATTGCTGTGACGCGTTACAGTGCAAGTCTGTCTAGCTTCTCTTTCTCTCGCGCATACGTCAAAGGAAGGCAGGCTTCCCCTCTCTCGTCGGACAGACGCTCAGTGTTTAGTGTGCGATAGACATATACTGTTGACAGTATTATGAAAATCTAACCAGCAAACATGTAATATTCTTTTATTATATGAAACGTGGCTTGAAAATGATGATACTGATTTTTTGTATGTACATTATTAAGTATCATTATTTAATCCCACAAAAGTAACAATTGGCTTACGGCAGTTATTGTATATGTACTTACATAAAATAATCATAAAAGATTTCATCGATAAATAACCTTTTCTCACATTATCATATCAATATACATAAAGTTTAAGTAATAACCTAAGCTTTTCTCAAGTTAAACAAATCCTATATCAAATAGTTCAACTTGGATTAGTTTAAGTTATCACTTCTATCGGGTGTCCCGGGACGAACACGTTTTTTTTTCAGTATTCCCTAATCATTGATAGTTCCAAATTTGAATGATATGTCTGAAGTTACTAAAAGGTATATAATGAAAACTGGATTTTAGGACACAGGTTCGCAACTTCAGCGTCGTACATGTACTTATGGAAAAACCTGTTGGATCTCTCAATAAACAAGATGTGTATTTTTATTGGTATGATATAATAGGTATGTGAAATACAGTCAGTATTGAATGATATTTATATTTGTATTCGTATTACATGTGAAAAGTCGTTATAACGATATATGTGTGTGATGCAATTTCTTCATTACAATACAGGCCAGTTTGAATTTCATTAGTTCGGACTTCCATTGTCTAATATTATATAAAATGATTTGAAATCCTTGAAATAATTGAAAAATTAAAGAAGGGGAATAAAAATGAATAGCTGAAAAAACAATTATATTAATCAAAAACTTGAAATGAAAATTAGTGACGTAAAATACAAGTGAAAATGAAACAAATTGAAAAAATATAAATACAATAAAAATTAAAAAGTTAATTCACGATGTTTCGATTGTAAGGTATCCACAATCGTCTTCGGGTGATGACTGGACCGATTCCTCCGTGAGCTGACTATTTATAGGTCATTTGAGTAATTTCCCTTATCTCTGCTTTCCATTTACCGCTTCACTGGTTTAGTGGGAGATAACCGTTTGGCGGGAGTTGGCCATTTTTCGCTTGATTACGGGTTTCCATCTGTTGTGTACCTCTATGCTAGCTTGGCTGAATACATTGTTGGATAGCATGTATGCGGCTTCTTTGAATTTCCTTCTAAACCAATGTTCCTCTTTGTGTATGATTTCAGCTTGGGACCATTCGATGTTATGTTGATGGGTCCAAACATGCTCTGCTATTCCTGATATGCTGGTTTTCCCTCGCTGTGTGTGTTTCTTGGGCTCGGCAATGCGAACATTCAAGGGCCTCTTAGTTTCACCGATATAGGATTTCCCGCACTCACAGGGTATCCGGTGAATGCAATTCTTGGAATCGCAGTTCTCGTTTGGTGGCCTGGTTTTCGTGAGGCTGCTACGTATAGTGTTTCCGGATCTGAAGCAGGTTCTGATGTTGTAATTGGATCCAATTCTTCGTATCTTAACACAAGTTCATTAATGCCGTCTGCATAAAAATTGCGTGCTCGGAATTCGATGTAGTCGACGAAGGCCGTTTCCGCCTGGTCCTGATTGGCGAAGGTTCTATCGGTGAGAAAGCTCTCGAAGTGATAGTCGACTGGCAAGAGGTCTGGAGAGTATGGTGGGGGAGGAGGCAAAACTTCAACGCTCAATTCGTTTAATTTTCGGACAGCGACTTGAGAAACATGCGGACGAGCGTTATCGTGAAACATTTTGTTGATTTCTATCGTCTCATATCGGAAAGAGTTGCAATGTTATGTTTCTCTGGACATCATCAATCTTGGTGGGGTGATGAATGTTGCACGTAGGCTGAATAATCTCTAGGCTAGAACAGTTTTTTTGTTAACCAGCTCTTATGTCAGTCCTCAATAGGAAAGACGTACGCACTATTGAACAGGGAAATCTGTCTTTTTCATTTTTTGAATTTCAAAATTGATGAAACTGAAATTTTGAATATTTACATCGTAATTTTCATTCTGAACACTGAGAGGGAAAGTTAATCAAAATTGATCAACAAGCCGAAGAAGCCATTGTACGTGTTGCGTTTTTGTAAAACTATTTAGTTGAAATCTCACAATGAAGTGATTTTTGAATACGTTAATCAACTAATTCTTTTTGATGACTTTTTGATATAAAATAACATTTATATCAGATTAGCTCGTTCACTGACGAACAACTAATGAATTTGTGGACGATAAAAGTTGAATACCATCAAGTTTGATAGATTCTCAAAATAATCTGTGAATCAATTGATAGTTTATATTCATGGGAATCATCAGATGAAACATTGTTGGATCAACTGTTATTAGAATGAATAAATAAAGATATTGGATACCTAATGTTATGCAGATACATATATAATTTCATCATTTGAAAATATATTTATCTCTTTTAGTCTCGTTCATTAGAAAATATATTGTATCCCTTTCTTTCCTTTATCGTGAATTAACAGAATGTTAATTGGAACTATCTATTTCGTTATGACATACACTGAGCTACTTTTCATTCATTCAAATTCTAGTTTAAATGATACTTTAAGAGATATTATTCAAGATCTATGTAAAACATTCGTCAATAATTTTATAGTTGTATCCTTGATGACCTTTAAAGAATACGTTCTTCAAATGAACTTCTTTTTAGGACTTTTTGGAGGTATTTGCAGTCTTACAATGGGATTGAACTTCATTAGCTTACTCGAAATGATATACTTTTTTTTGTGTATTTTTGAGAAGAAAAACATCGAGAAAAATCGCAGACATCAAAATGTTGAACCATTCGAAGAAGTTAGAGAAATGAGTCAGGAAGCAGAATGAAATATTGTATTATTTTAGCTGTTATGGATATTTATGTTTGGGTGTTTTAGTGAAGGAAACAATAAATAACTGAAACAGTGAAATTTATAAATCGTTCTTTAAAGTTTTTACTGTCTGACTAACTAGTTATTATATTACGAACTATGTATGTGAATCCCCAATTGATTAGTCTGATAAGCATTTATGTGTTCTCCTGTAAGGAGATGAATAAAGTTACTATTACTACAATATCAAAAGTTTTTATAGGACCAATTATGTTCATCCCAACAAGTTTCCCCAAATATGTCATTTGTTTTTCTCGCAAAATGCTTACTGGGATTTCCAATTCTCGACATAATTTTTCGATATTATAAAATGAAAACAACTCTCAAACCCGTTTTGTTCCTATCAAGGAAGTGAACATTGAACTTCCCTACAGGTTTTTTGTAATATGCTATAGTTGAGAAATTGTTTCAGAAAAAAAGTTTCAATGGACTTGAAATAACTGTATTGTTTCAGAAATGAATGAAACAACCATTGGATTTGGATATTTCTTAATACTTCACTTCGAAATTGCTTTTTAAAACGGTTCGCTTGAGTAACCACTGTACAAAATAATTCTGGTAGCCCAAAATACAGATCCAATTTTATTAATAAGCAACGTAATTATGATGTACTTTCCATTGCACGGGATATCTGCTAGAACTTATCGAACATTTGACCGATTTGAGTCCGGTTCAAAGTTCTCTCTTCAAAAAACTAACTTGTCACAAAAACATGAAGTTACTTGACTATTTCATTACGACTTTTGAATAATTCATCAGAGCAACTATAGATAATATCGATTAATAACGATGAGCATTAATTTCTGAAGGTGTTTCGATGGACATTTTTTTGCTATCGTTTTTTCATTTTCCGTTATAGTGGTAACCTTGGAACAAACTATAAGCGAAAGCTATAATTTCTTCTTGTTATGTTTCCATTTCAATTTTCCTTATGCCTTTCCGAAAGCAATGATTTCACAATTTTTGCCCTAATCATAATAGCATTCACAAATGGCATAAAGAAAATTTCAATTTACTCTTATGCTGTACTTTAACTATCACAAAAATAGTGGAAATGACGAAATTCTATTCGATACCTGTGTATCAACGTCAGATATGAAAATAAGAGTATCCTACATTTCGAAAAAAATTCCATGGCTTTCCCATGTAACTAACACTCATGAAAATTTGTGGTTGCAACAAGAAAATTCAGTTTTTTTCCAAAAATGTCAGAAGAATAATTAACATTCCACTGTCAATTGCCTCCTACTGTCAACTACGAACTGCCTTATAAAGTACTGTTCCCGAGTAGAGAGGACTGGATCCTCCGGGAGAAGGAAATATTAAAAGCAGATAGTTGTTGGTTCACAGATGGATCAATAACACCTTCCGGTTCTGGTGCAGGTGTTTTCAGTCGCAGACCCAGGACAGAGATATCAACCTGCCTAGGAAGCTATGCGACTGTATTTGAAGCGGAAATTTACGCTATTGAATTGTGTGCGGAGGGATTTGGAGAATCCAACCTCATACACAAGTCAATAAAAATATTCTCGGACAGTCAAGCGGCGTTTGTAGCTCTTAGCTCCTACCGAGCAACGTCTAACTTGATAGCAAATTGCCAAAAGCGACTCTCGTCAATAGGAAGATTCAACAGATTGTCTCTGGTGTGGATTCCTGGCCATACTGGCCTAGAAGGCAATGAGGCTGCTGACTCCCTTGCAAAGGAGGGTGCTGCAAGCAGCTTCATCAGACCAGAACCTGTCATTGGCATCGCTTTAGGCTTTGTCAAACAAAGATTGAACACCTGGATGGCAAGAAGATCTATGGACTTCTGGCAGAATCTTCCAGGATTGGCTCACTCCAAGGCGTTTATTCACCCTTCTAAGCTTGATACCAAACAGTTGTTGGACTACAGTAGGGATGAACTACGATGTCTAACAGGCCTTCTTACAGGTCACTGTCATTTGAATCATCATATGCAGAAAGTCGGATTGTCGGAAGACAGTATGTTTTGCCTCTGTTTGAGAAATGATGAAACAGCAGAGCACACACTTTGTGTCTGCCCCGCTGGGGACCGAATCAGGTTTTCAGAATTCGGCAGAGCCGTACTCTTACCATCTGACCTGAAAAACCACTCACCATAGGAACTAATCGGTTTCGTTAAGAAGCTTGGTTTATTTGGTCGAGTGTGAATAGGTATGAGCCACAATAAAACCTTGCGGGTTGTGGTGGAGGGTCGAATAGACCCATTCATTTTGGACCTAACCTAACCCAACCTAACTCTTTGATGTCATTCCGAATACTTCACGAAATAATCAAGAAAACCAATATGCTCCAATTTCCTTGAATTACCTGTTTGACCAATAGGTTTAGCTCATTCTTCGACTTCTTACAGTACCGCTTTGACACTTGACACTCAACAGATATCTGAACTGAAAGTTCGCCACAGTTTCGATAATTGTACGTGGTCCTATGTTGAAAATAATTTTCAAATGGAGCAGTTTATTGATGAATCCCCATTTTCCTTTCTGTTCCTGGATATTTATTGCAAACTAGACATATTACAAGCCAAAAACTCCTACTCGATAGTTTTCCAGTCCAATTATCTCAGTGAAGATGCAGATCAGGGATCGAACTCGCATTCACAATAGCTGTGATTTCAGGACTGGATTTTACTTACCAGTGAACTGGGTTCTACTTTTTTCTTCCAAGTACCAGAAACTTGAAGAAAATTACTGAAGGCTAAAAATGAAATGAGTAATTTGAATTCGTTTTGATATCGAGTAGAATTTTTTTCAGTTTTTTCGTTCCCTCCACGAAACGTGTAAACTTTTTTTTCTCAGAATCAACATAGTCAATAACAAATTATCAATAACTAAAAACTTTTCATATCAATCGATCACTATCATACTCTGAGTATTTTTACCGTAATGAATAATTCGTAGAATAATGGTTGAACGGTTCGTCAACATCGATAATAATTTTTAGAAGCGTTACACGCAATAACAATATTTAATTACAATTAGCACCAATAAACATACAATTTTCATATATTTCAATGACAGTCACAAAAATATCAATTCGATAAATTGTAGCGGAAATATTTTTTTGTGAGAAGTTTGAAGTAAATCGCCAACAATTAGTCGCATACAAAAGATTGCAGGGTTACAGGCGGAATCGGAAAAATCTTAGAAAAGCATACAATAAAAACAGTGTTCAAGCCCACCCGGAAAATACAACAAAGCCTTTGATCTGGAAAGACAAAAGAGATCCACTATCAGCCGCGGTGGTGTATCGTATATCATGTACCCACGGAAAAGTTTTTATCGGTTCCACCAAAAGATCCGTGGGTACAAGGCTGAATGAACATTGGAGAAACTGTAGATTAGGTCAAATAGACAAGTCGGCAGTAGCGGAACACGTGCATAGTAAAGGAGATCACTCGATACTGTTTGAAAATGTGAAACTACTTGCCCCCGATCGTGGATACCACAGTTGGCTTGTGCGGGAAGCCACATAAATCAATAAACATACGGAGAACTACAGCAGAAAAGAGGAGGCGGTTACGCTCAACTGGATTTTGAATCCCATAATCAAATATGCTGAAGTGGCAACAGCGCAATGCAATGTTACGTCATTGACAGGTAATAACACTTCTGCCAATAGCAACGCATCAACAAGAGAGGCGGACTACCTGCGCAAGACATGATGCGTATAAGCAAAGCAATCTCAAACAGTCCGAAATAGTATTGGACACTTGGTTAAACCAAAACGCAATTTTCAGGAGACCACTGTGCCACCTATCGTATACATGACAAGATGAAGACGAGAAAATACTGTTAATCATGTCCAGTTTGTTATGTAGCGTATCCTTGTAGTCGTTCAAATGTTATTTAACCTCAATCATCAATGATGATCCTGACGTTTTAGAACCTGTATTTCGTAGAATCAGAATAAACCTATAAATACAACCTACAAACTAGAAATCAAGATGAATAAACTTTTGAGGAAGCCAGCCACTCGTGCTGGCGAAACGGTAGGATGCAGTTCCAAACTACGATGGCCTTCAAACTTGAATGAAGATAATAACAATGAATCAATGTTGTGTTGATCTATAATTCGAGTTAATAACTTTTGTATATCGTGTCTATGAAGCACAAAGTCGGGCCATACTAACGCAGCCAGTGTTGCCCCAGTTCATTTTTATGCTTACCAGTAGATATTTCATGTAGAATAAAAAAAACTTTTGTCTAATTTCTACTGAGTTTATTATTTGTCACGACTGGTTGTACATTGTAGTTTTCACTATTTACAGTCGTTCAATATCTTCCTCAAGAATCAAACTGAGTCAGTTATCAGTTAAATTCAGAATTCCACTAAATGAATGAACTTCGAGATCTCAATGTAGGGGATTTCCACTCACAAACTGATTTTCAGGCTAGGAAAGATAAATTCAATCCAAAATCGCTCGAGTGGTCAATATTCAACAAAAACTTGTTTTTATTCTCGACTGAGAATTCAGTATTATATGCTGCTGTATAATTAGCCACACAGGCTTTCAGAGTTCTTTGATGGAACAAGTGTGGTTTTAATCACTGCAGGTAGAGATTATTTTTATTTTTTATATGTCGGTGGCTTCCCTATATAATCTGACCTTCTGAAGATTCTTCCAATGATGCTCAAAATGAAAGATAGAAAAGACTTTCGTCATAAGCAGTATGTTTCTTTGGGTTTTCTTAATTTTGCAGATAAGGATAATTCGTACCCAAATTATCCGTATGTCTTTTTTCTTTTTCCTTCTTCCACTGAAACGATACTTCATCGTTTGCCACAATTTGACTAATGTTTATTATTTTATTGTAATTATTGGTTCCTTCAGGGATTTCAAATTAAATTGACCAATGTTATTTACAAATGCTCAATTTAGTGCGTGAAATGCTATAATTAACTTTATAAAAAGACTATCATATAAAAATAAAATAACATTAGCTCCTTCGGCAGATTTTTAAAAATAATTGTTCGATCGCCTAAAACCTTTTAAAATCAGACAAAAAATTGAA